TCTAAAGTTATGAAATCAACTGTAGTAATTTTTAGTATTGCTGTATTTTTTTCAACCAATCCCGACTGTCAGATATATTTCTTCGTTCCTTCATTCAATATTCTTAAGCCACTGAGTGATCAAAATGTAAGAAGATACATCCAACTTTTTATTTTATTTAAATGTCTTTAAAATACAATGTTTTACAAATGTGAAACTCAGTACACAGTAACTTGATTAATATAAATATTTCTCACTAATATTCATTTACCAGTAGATGGAAAAGATAATAAACTTTATGACAGTAATAAAGAGCAAAGCCACAGCTGCAAAATATAGTCGTCAATTTGGTCGCTTTTCAAATGCACCCACCCATTAAATTCCTCTGGAAACTAAATTAAGATTCCGTTTTAAAGGTCTATAAAACATCGGTTTAACATTGTATGTAATTCGATATTTAGTTAGTCATATAATAAGTCTTGTCAATTAGTATTGTTATACATGGTGACCAATTGAAATTATATAATTTATCTTGTGATGCCATTAAAACAACTACAGTACTATAGTTTCGAGTAACTCAGCACATTTTCAAAGTTCTTTAGTTAGTAAGTTTTTAGTTCCTATTTTTCAAATAATCAGGTCACGAAACTAGTTTAACCTTGTTCTACAGTTGTAGTGGTTTACAAATTAGTTTTAGTTTGGAACAAATGTATCCATGATTATTGCTCTACATAAGTTGTATATTTTTCTTACACGTATTTTCATTTAAGTTGGTTTTGACACAGTGTACAAATTTGAAAAGAGAGTTTTTATACCCTTAGACTCCGTGGATTATTTGGTATTTTGAACATGCTGGGTTTACTGTACATAGTTAAATTTCTGAACATAAAAGGGCATAAAATTCGTCAGGAGTATTTTATGATTAACTTAGGCTCGCATGATAAAGGGAAGGCTGTAAAAAAATAACAGACCACCAGATCATCCTGAATTTGGCGATCCTAACAATATCAATCATTGTGTTGTACCTATATCTGGATCTCTCTCCACTATACGCTGTGACTATCTGATAGAACTCCAATTTTTTATATATCTCACACGTTACTTTGACGTACTACGCTTTGGCTAGTTCATTACAGCCCAGCTCCGGACTAAGCGACTAGTGATTACATACTTTACCCCCACCACCAACTCCCCCCCTCCAGCAGTGGCAAATTGCTGCTAGGTAGGTAGATAATTACAACTTGTCCTCGTGGGTGAATGGACTAACTTGTTGCATTTACCGTGGCGTCAATTGACCGTGAATAGATGGTGCTGAAATCAAATAAAGAGTCTGTTCTGTATCTAAATAAATATGTAAAATATAGTAAAACAGGGATTTATCAAGTTTTCCCTCAAATTTACTGCAAGTACTTCCTAATAAAATGAGTTATATCTGTTTCAAATAATTATTTGTTGAGTATAATTGAACACACACTTCACTAATTGGTGAAACACAGAGACAAAACTTGAAAATTACATAATAATGCAATATGAAATCAAAACAATTTTGGAATGTAAATCAGTTGTATCTAGTTACAGACAAATAAATAAATGTTTCAAAGTGAAATGATAATGAAGATATTACATCCAAGCTAGTATACTAGTTATCATTTAATATGAATGGATATATCAAATTAATCACTTGCATAAAAGAGCAAATCTGTTAAATCAATATGTGATTCTACTTTTTATTTTGACGCGGTGAGTGGTAGAAAAACAATTAAGTGATCGTTTCGTATCCAGTTCTAAAAACATAAATGTAGGCTACATAGTATTGTGGAGTTTCACTAGGTGAAAAGTGACTGTTTCTAACATAAGATTAATCACCGTATTATTTTACATTTTAACTAATCTATAATTATCAACTATGTTTTTTTTGTTGTCAAATGTACCATGTAAGATGATAGAAAGATCATGAAATGAAAATTTTGAAACAGCAGGTCTACTTATTCTATGTCAAAACCAATTTAGAAAGAGAAAAATACATAGCTAATGTACTTGACTCTGTTTTTGCGCAAGGTATAAAACAACTTATTTGGCCCCGTAATATCTGTTTTGCTGCAGTAAGAAAAACATATTTTCCATTAGTTTTAAATAGCGTTAAGAGGTTAAATATCTATGAGTATTTTAAAAACAAATTTAGTTCAATCAAATGAGGGCATTGCTCCTACCTAAATAAGGAAAAATATCCCTATAAATCGCGTGTCTTTATAGTAAGATGAGTTCTCCTGAAGCTATCTAGTATGTCAGCTTGTAAACGGTTAACTCATTTCTGCTGTCAGATGATCCGTTGTTGTAAAACAAACACCTAAAACATTACAAGAGTTTTAAGATTTCGAGGAAGAGAAGGTTAATCATGTGCTTTCCGAAAATACAAATCTTTTTTAAAATCATGCCTTAAATTGATCGCAAAGGTTTTTTAAGAGGATGAAAGGGAAATACTGTTTTTGACCAAATATAAATATTATAGGATGAAATAAATAAATTTGCCGAATTTGACCAGGCTCTATAACATGCAACTGCATTTTTTTTACTCCGGACAACAGATTTTTTAATATTTTGTAATTGTTAACAACATCGTTCAACTGAAAACTCGGACAAATAAAGTGATCTGGTTGGATGTTTTCTTTTATTACTCTAGCGATAACTTATTGGCTGCTTTTTCATAAGCGAAAGTATTACAGTTGGCCGTTTGATTCCGAAAATCAAGAGGCCAAGAGAGAGTGTATTTTCAAGATTTTATCACCCTTCAAGGGGGCTTGGAGCTCGATCCTATTGGGACGCCATTTTATGACCAAGTCTACCATCATTGTGTATCAAAAACTGCATGTTCCTTTATCTAAAGCAGGTTCAAACACCGTGATAAATTTATTGCTTTAACTGTTTCTTAGAAACTGTTTTTTTTATTTCATAATTGGTAAAACATTTTTTTTAATGTACCCACTTTGTATATCAGGCTTTCTTTGAAGGTTGTCTTAAGTGAATATAGCCTTACCACATTGTTCAGTCACTTGTACTTGAACCCTTCAAAATTTGTTTTATGACATCTACTGCCAGAAATGTATTAACCTTTTTGGTGTGTCAGCAAGAGGGGGGTTTTTATTTGAAGAATATCAAACGTTGTAAGAAAAAAAACGTTCCTACCCTAGCAATAATTGCAGATTTACCGAGGATCACGCATCATTCTCTAACCGAAGCCCGAGACACTAATCACTAGGCTAGCACACGCCCAAATCATTATCTACAGTACCTGTGGAGAGAAATTTATATCCTAACTTTGAATCATATGACTTATTTATATTGATGGTGTGAAACTTATGAATTATGTTAATCGAACACGTCCCGCCTTTTTTGCTGTAGCATATTTGGTGAACCTGAGAAATATTGCTGATGTATTGAAACTCACGCAAAATAAATTATATCGGTGAAAACCTTATAGCCTAATAATTTGGGGATAAGGACTGCGGTGTTTGTTTTAGGTGCGATCTGCAAATAATCTTAATACAGAGAGAGCTTTTAAATAAATAAAAATGTCATAAAAAATGTCATTTGCATGTAATCAATTTAAAGTGAAAAATCATTTATAAAATTTATATAAAATCTTCGTTATAGAATTTTTAGTGATTTTTATACCCATCAAGATAGTTATGGAGTTTTATAAAATGAGGTTAAGTTATGTAAAATAGTTTTAATATTCAAATTAAAATTACTACCCCTTTCAATATACTAAAATGTTATACAAACTCTATAAGGATTTAGATCGAGTAGTTTCAAAAATTTAACACAGGCTGTTTGTGCACCTGTTTCCATTAGCAGCATGAATCACGTCCTGTCATGTCTGCCAATAGGGTTTCGAATGATTGAGGTTGGTACGACCGTGTCGCGCCTGCTGTCCACCCTTAACTTAATTTTCTTTGTCGCATTCTGTAGGACGCCATTGCAAAATGTATGTGTCACGTGGATTTCAAATGCAAACTGATGATACAAATTACATTTTCTACCGGTACCAGTTGCACAATGGCTGGTCTCAATAAAATCTACACTAACGTCTTCGCAGTTTTATGTAGGAGTGTTGATTGATATAAAAAAAATTAAATGTTCTTGTTGAAGACAATTGTGTTAAAACTTACCGGTTTGATTAGGGAGCGAAGGTTTATTTTTCCCGTAATAACCAAGAGTTGTTCTTTATTTCTGTATACTTCGTGGCCCAATAATTTTCTAAAAATCAAGGAGAGTATGCCCATCTCATCTTTATCACAAACATCAATTTAAAGTGTATTGTTTGGTAGTGATTTCAGATTGGTATTTAAATTTGTTTATTGATTTCCTACGTGAACACACTACGTCACGTGATTTGAGTTGAGTGGAGGAAAAACTAACCATGAAGAAGCGGATATTTTTCCCTTACTTTGTTTAGATGAACTCTATCCATGCACAACTGATAGTGTTAATAAAAATAGTAAAGTCACCTAGAATGATGCACTTTATAATCTTCTATGTATTAAAGAATTGTTGGTTTTCTTTTTCGAGTCGGTTTGGCTCTTCTACTCGACAGATTTTCATAATCTTTTTGGTCTTAAATTATTGGTATGTACGCTCATATTTGCCATCGAGCATCGGCATTCATTTATTTAACGTATAATTCGAATCATGCACGAAAGCAACTCCCTCCTTGTGCATTTCTTATGGGAGTTAAATTTGTTTTTTTTCAGAGTTGGTTTGACTCTTCTTCCCCACTGATTTAAAGTGGGCTAGGTTTGTGGGACAGAATCTCTACGGAGCACACGTTCAATAAGTGCTCTCTTAACCTTCTCCTTGAGAATTCATAGGGCTGTAAAACATATTTGAGACAACTCTAATTGCCTATCACCATGTATTTGGTTCTGTAGGCGATATATTTTATACAATGCTGACGAATTACTTGACAGCAGGTTTTTACGTCTTCTGCCAGACCTTTTCTTAACTCTTCCTTTGTGTTCCAGCATGGAAACGCTGCCACCTCGAGTCAGACCAGCGTCGGGGGCGGCGGCTCAGCAGGAAGTGGAGTTCCCTCGGCCGGAAGAGGAAGTGCTAGCGGGGGAACCGGAAGTGGTGGTGCACCCGCACAGCCTTCAGGAAACAAATTCAGACATGGTCTGCTCCAACTTATGATCCACACCATCGACCCCCTTCATGATGGTGAGTTCATGTTGTAATAACTGTGTTTTTCTGTAAAACATAAAAATAAAAAAAAGGTTTTTCGTCTTAAGACGTCTCAGGACTAAATATGACAAATGAACGGATGTGACGTGGAGTGGTATTGTCATGCTTGAGGGTTTAGAGATGTAGAAGGGCGCTTTATAGTTAGTTCAGCGTCGATACGGTGACAAAAATCTATTGTAAGACTACCCAACCCACATCTCCATGACTTCTTTCATGATCTCACTCATGATGGAATGTGAAATATGTAGTATCTATGGATGGTAGTGAAATAAAATGTAACGATATTGACACTGCGCAATAAAAACGAGTAACCCACTGATTTATTGAATGATTAATGTTCATAATGGTCAATAAATCATCTCCCTTCTCAAAAATTTAACAGTCAACTGGTTTCGTTCGTCCCCTATACCATAATATACTATAATCCAGGGTATTTCTGTGCATATCGTAATGTAGGTTCATCTCGCGGACCAGGTTGATTGTCACCTGATAAGTTTTACGATTTTTATTCCTTAACCAATTATGTTTAGTTGTATTTTTATTAAATCATTCAAAGGACTAGTTTCAATCCATTTCTAATGAATAAAAAACAAACGTAGATGAACTTTAATGGCTTAGTGACTTTGATATTGCTCTACAAATTGAGATTTTCTATGGCTAACGATAATTTTCACTTAATTTAAAACAAAAACTTCACAAATATTTTCAGAATTTTTAATTTCATAAGGCCTTTTCCCAGCTATGCTGGCATCATCAGACACATCACAAAAGTGATGATGCCAGCATAGCTTGCGAGAGGCCTCATGAAATAAAAAATTCTTAAAATGATTAGTGAAGTTTTTATTTCAAATTTATATTCATTAATAAATAATGGTTTAAATACCTTATACTGTCAAAAGTGATCCTTTGTAGTCTATGTAGGCTACTGCAGTTTCATTCCCGGGGGAACTTCATCAGGCTTGTAATGACATCAAAACTTCATTCCATAGGAAGTCGTCATGGTAAAAATCCATCAAGGTCATATATACATAAAACACGGACGAACACACGAACATAACACTTTAACATTACGAAACACGGTACCGGGAAGCACGTTACGCACGGAGGGCAGGTCTAGACTTGCCATAAAAAAAATGGATGTGATCCATAGTCTAGACCTGCCCTCCGTGCGTAACGTGCTTCCCGGTACCGTGTTTCGTAATGTTTATGTGTTATGTTCGTGTGTTCGTCCGTGTTTTATGTATATATGACCTTGGTGGATTTTTACCATGACGACTTCCTATGGAATGAAGTTTTGATGTCATTACAAGCCTGATGAAGTTCCCCCGGGAATGAAACTGCAGTAGCCTACATAGACTACAAAGGATCACTTTTGACAGTATAAGGTATTTAAACCATTATTTATTACTTTACCAGTGATCCGGAGGCTAACAACATGAAGTTATATTCATTCCAATATTACCAGTTCTTCTAGAAGAATTTTAACTTTATTTGCCATACTTTTACTACAAACAGATATAATATGGTTTGCTTTCTTATACTTGTATTTGACAACACAAACAGCAAAACATTATGTATGATAATCCTCACGAAAGTACACAAGATGATTCATTTTTCCGGCTGTTCCATTAGCAGAGCAGTGTACACTAACTGTTGTGGGAGAAGTTTTGATGGAAGGGGGAGGGATGGAATGTATTTTGGATCGTAAATTTCCACCATCTACGCTTCCAACATTCCACCATTTCTGTTGAATTCCCTTTACAATGGGACCGTTCTAAATCGTAAAATATACCACTATAAAAAAACTTGTCATGATAGATATTCTTTGCTAGTTCAGAAAGCAACGTAAAAAGATTACAGTTATTTAGTACAATGTTTATCCCTTTATTAAGGTTCACCTTTATGCAGGTAATGAACACTCAAACTTAATAAAACTGCTTAAACGAGTATGTTTTGCAGTATTCTTCGCTAAATCCAAACGAGCTTTAATAAAATTAGAATTTCCACAATTAAGGGAATAACTATTACTTACTTATTCCCTTGTGTGAGTTAGTTCATCAACTCTATTCCAGAGATCAAACTGAACACGGATTAAACCATTGAGAGAGAGAGAGAGAGAGAGAGAGAGGAGAGAGAGAGAGAGCAAACTAATTGAGAGAAATTCTTTATTTACAACAAATTATTTTGCAGCATTACATTAAGGAAATAAAAAAATATCACATGGGTCACAATGACCTGTGCGTGATAGTCCTTATTTGGCTGCTTAAAATCAAAATAAAAGTTCTTCACACTTCACATAAAAAAAATAAAAAAAGATCGAGCAATAACTTAGTTAAATAAGCATAACAATTAATTTACTATACAATTATAATTATAAAAAACTGCGAAACCTAACAACCATATGCAAATGTAACTCAATAGTAGGGGAGCTCATTGCTTGCATTAAATCCGATGCACTTTAACTTCCATATTCATATTCACACAACACATATTGCACATATTCAGTGCAACGTTGTAGTGTTGTATAGTTAATGATTAAACTGACCAACGAGTAATCAACATTCCTTAGCATACTATATCAAACTGAACCTGATTACAACTGTTAAAACAAGTATTAGCAGCCTAATCACATTGGTTGGACATTATTTTGTAGTGTTTCCACAATAAAGTTAACCGTTTCTTTTTTAATCTGGCAAAACAACTATTTGCCACAGTTTTCATTACTGTATAGCAAATTGCACCTGTAGCAAAATTGGTAAAATATTAAGGTGTACAGTGATCCATATTATCTAAAACTGATAATGAATGTAACTGGGGTGTTTTACTTCATGTATGTACAATGTAATTTTGCCAAACTTATGTCAACAATCGTAATCGATAAGTGAGAAACCTACTTCTGAAATCATAAAAATATTAAATATACTGTCACAAAAGTATCACAAGTAAGGCACAAGTACACCTTCATAAAAGTATGGCAAATATGGTTTATAGCTTCAACAATCAGTATGATCGTATATATTACTAGTGGCTTGTAGGGACATAAGTCCCTAAAAAGCTGAAATGTAAAACAACATATTGCAATTCCGGTATTTAAACAAACTCAGAATAACATTATCTATGTGTCAGAATAGGCATCCCTACTTGTGTAAAAACCAGTTTGTTGTTCTTCTTTGTTTGCTTTTGTTGATGTCATTTTCAATAAATAATTTGAATCACTCCAGTGGTTTAACATGAAAAGGCAGCAAACATATCATTGTTTGTGAATAAATACTGGTTTACTAAGGTAGCTTTGGTCTTGTGGTTAATGAGGATAAATAAAAGCTTCCCTGTTTGGAATTTTAAAAATTAATTGGAGGTTCGCCTTCAGATGAGTTGAAGACGCCTGCAATTTCATCTGCAGTAGGCTTATTATACCTACGACGATCCATATTTATCCTGTCTACAAACCTAAGTTCTGATTCACTGTCACCTTGTACAACCATTTCTTCCGAAGCTCTTTTGTAAATTTGTGCAAATGGATTTTCTAATAGAATTTCAGCTAGTTTTGACAATATTTCAGGTTTTAAGTCACTATTTTCTCGACGCCTTTGACGAATTTCTGTTGCTGTTGATGTGTCAATAATGTACAATTGGCCATACACGGGGTCTTCATCATGTTGAGGCAGCAAATCTGAGATTGAACGATAAATCTGTCCTTGAATTTTGAAACAGTATGGTCCTTTTCCTGGAATATCTTTCTTACTGGCTGAAAAATAAGCAAAAGCCATCGCACTGTTGTATTGTCGAATTAATTTATACAGTTGTGGGCTCTCTTCAAACAAATTTTTAAGTTCTACATTAGTTTTTGGCTGAGGAAGGTTAATAAGTCCGTTATGGCAACATGTCATGAAATGATTATTCGTTAGTTCTTCTCTAAAATGAAGAGCACTACATTGAATGCACTCTTGGTCCAGTAATCCTGCATCATGGATATTTACATTTCTTTCGTCTACCATGGGTCTCCTAAAAAGGGGTTTGTAACATATCTTGATTAAGTTCGTCATTATCTACTCTTGCTCTTCTACGCGCACTGTCATTCCTATGAACAGCTCCCCGCCTTTGTGGTCTTCCCCTGGCGTTCATATTAATTACAGTACTTATAATGAAAAGAATATATATCCAGCAGCCTACATACCAAAACATCTTGAATCCCTCGTGATTTTATAAAAGTATGATCGAATATGATTACTCTACGTTGTATATTCACTGCACTAAAATAGTATATTACGTTACTAGTCCTGAAAATAAGTGTTTACCGGACGAGTGTGGTCGTTCCCGTGCGAGACGAAGTCGAGTACGGGATTACCATACGAGTCCGGTACACACATTTTGGACGAGTTACGTACGATAGTTTACGCCATACTAATAAATCTGTATAAATCCTTATTTCCACCAACTTAAGGACTAAAAATCACTAGTCGAGAGGTTATGTTTTTGTTTATAACCATTCATTGCTACCTATATACAGTATAATCAGCTGATTGGTGTCCGGTAAAACTCATTGCAGAACAGTAGCACGCAATGAAACCCCATTTGAATAAGCTGGCGGCAAACAGCTGTTTTCTGGACTAAATCCTTGCGTGGGAAGTCCGTCAAAATAATGTAGTGTGGCGTAAAAATATTTACTTACGAAGGAATGCAAATACACCATTTTAGAACCAATAACATTTGTAGGTTATTTTAGTTGTATATATTAACACAACCTTAACCTTAAAATGTGTAGAAATATAAAGAAAACAACATCATTTAAAATAAACTTGAACATATGATTTAAAAATAAAAACAAAACAGAAGTTAGATTTAATTTCGACTCTTTGATTATTTATACAGAATATTTATTCTATGTCGTTTATTCCTTTAACACGACAATAACGTAAAAGCATGAAAAAATGAAACTTGAGTATATGATTTAAATATAAACAAAGAATGCAGACGTT